TTTTAAAAAATTTGGTTCAGACTTTTTTTTTAATTTCAGTGAAAGAATATCATCAAACAGTTGGATATTTCATTGAAATGATGCATCCACAAAGTATCAACAATACTGCTTTCTTGCAGATTCGATTAAATTATGGAAGAGCGCTTTTTTTTTCATGGAGAGCAGTGGAGAAAAAAATATTCTTGAATTAATTTTAGCTTTCAAGATTAGTCTAGCAATCAAGTCACAGAAATCTTTAGTTCAAAAAATTTATTTAAAAGCAATTTTATCTTGGAACACATTTTTATACAACCAATTGTTGAATTTGGTGAATTTTATTTTGCTGCAATTGTTGGCTTTCTTTTGAGAGTAAATATTGTCGTGTTATATCGTCAGCTTCCAGCAAACGGAAGTTCCACCGATAAACTTTCAGGATAGAACCAATTTTATATTTATCCATGCTGCAGATATTGCGATATCTACATGTCTAGTTGGATTTTAGATCTATCTCAAATCAATTCATAAAACCATGCATTTGTTCACAATATAATCAAATTACAACCAGGGAATTAGAACTAATTAACTGGTAAAAGTAAGGAATAGTTCAAGGGCAAAAAAGAAAAGTTATGATATTTTGATAAGATTAAAAGTCATGAATTCACACAAAATTTAAAAACTAACTCATATCTGCTGCAATTGATGCCTTTGATAAACGTTCGCCCACGACACCACTTTTGACCCGTTAGAGCTTCAGCAATGTCCAACCTCTCTTTACTGACATGAAACGTTATCAAAAATTTTATATCTTCGAACAACCCTTTTCCTCCCTCCTGAAAATATTCTAATTTATTTGAAAATTCAAGAAGTCTTGAAAAACTGTTATTCGAAATATATTTCATCTCTTTAAAGAGACGAACTTTAAAACTATAACAACACAGCATAAAAAGAAACTGTTTGAAACGATAAAACGATAAATGTGAGAATAAGAAAAGCATTAAATTAAAGCCTCAGAATTTTAGTAGCTGCTATTTAGGCATCGAATTCTGAAAATACTACTGTAATTAAGAATCACCATTAGAGCAATGAATTTCATCTGCAACGGTATGTTTCCAATTTCTTCAGGCGGTGGTCCATTTACAAGAGTCTGAAGTTCAACTCGACTTAGTTTGGTTTTATTCAAAAGCTTTTATCTCCAAGTCTCAGCTCATTTGCTACAAGTTCACTATAACATCAAGCAATATGGATAGATTTTTTTCGTTTGACGAACTCACTTTTTCGTAATCTTCAAAATCAATGGGTCCAAAACGTTTCAGGAAGTTACGTGTTTCTGGACCTTCACAACTAAAAATAAACATTGGCCTGGTATAAACTTCTACCCATAGGCCGGGACGTATCTCACTGCTGCGATAGAACTGTCGAACATCTGAAAAAAAAAAGAATTCATCAAATGAGTAAAAATCCACAAAATTTTTTGAAAAAATGCAAATGCAAGAACACCTTTTTTGATGAAAGGAAGTTTGTTCCTTTTGAGAAAAAGTTGTCCTTTAAACCCACGAGTGCTTTCTACTAGCGTAGCAGTGTCGTCGATTGTATGTACTACCATATGAAATGTCCGAATAGAAGTACCATCTAACCAACAGGCTAACAAGTGCAACTTTGCTGGCGCATCCGAATAATCTATCTTCTGAATTATTGTAAATTTGTTTTGTCAATAGAAGGAATTTAAAAAATGAGTAAATGGGAATAATCTATACTCTCGAAGCCTCAAAAATTATCCGAATTATTAAAACAAAGGCAAGTGAACAAAATATTTTCCAATATATATGAACGATTAGGCAATTTACTTCAAAATTGCTTTCGGATTTTTCTTCTATGCTTTCTTTATTTTTACTCGAAGATTGGTGCTGCTCTTGATTTCGAGTCCACGGGTCCATCGGAATTTCCTCTTCTTCATTAACCTCAATTCCTTTTTTTGTTAAAAAATCCTAAAAAAAGCGAGAAATCAATAATAAATTAGCATTATTTGGATTTTTGCTTGCAACAATTCGATTTGATAACAATTCATCTATTCTAAAAAAATATTAATGAACCCTGGTGTGATGATCACAGGCAGTAATTCTGTACGTTCCCGAGAACAGATGAATATCTTTGGCAACATTTAAATCTGACCAATGCAAAAACTTCTGACCATAATTTAATTTCGGTACTCTCTGATGAGTAAAAGTACGACTCTGGAATGAAATATAGATATTATCAGTCAAATCAATCCTCTGATTAAAATATTAATAAGCCCTGGTATGAAGATCACAGGCAGTAATAGAAAATCTAATATGCATGAATAGGAGCATATTTGGTAGTTATCACTTAGTGGCACCAAATAGAATATATATGAAAAGAGAGCAAATAGTTCCATTCAAAGAAGACATTGAAAATCCTCTCCAGTCGGATTATTAATTAATCAGTAATAGGCTATAGAAGATGGAAAATAAATTGAAGTATGATTTTTTAAAAAAAAGAAGTGTTAAAATGAAATCAGTACCTGCAAAATGCTATTGTTTGGAACATGTGGTTCAATGAGAGATATTGTATGATCGGTGAGATGATAAAGTAATTTCATTGGTTGTATGTGATGTAACTGACGATGGGAGTATGTTTCGATGTCCGGTTCACACGAATAACATTCAAACGACAGAACATCCGGTCTGTCACCCTCCATCTGCAGGCAGTCTATGAATAGTGAACCATACCTAATACATCAAAGCAGCTAAGGACCTATTAATAATTAATAAATAGTTATAGATGGTGTGTTGGGTTCAACCTTAGCTAAGCGTCTTGGATCTTTTGAATAAAAGCCAAAAAAAGTCATCATATATGAATTTTTATTTAACATAGAATGCTAAGAAACATTATAAAAGAGCTAAAAATCATAAACAACTTATGGATTGATTTTTATTCAAACCACTAAAGGTAAATAATTAATGATATATCAAAACTAAAAGTTCTAAAAAAAGGAAAAAATATAGAAGTGTACTTGAGAGAAGGTTCATCAGTCGCAGAATGTTGTTCCACTATCTTTTTTTCATCACTTCGATTGCTCATTTCCGCTACTCTGGGCATTAATAATGATGATTTTATGAGCTGAAGTAACGAAAAAGTAATATTTATAATGAGTTGTTTACCAAATCTAAATTTGATGAGAAATTGACATATCAAATTTTGATTGTTAAATTACCAACATAACCTTCCTGTCCCTAAATATCCGAAGTATTTACCAGTAATGATATAAAATTATCTATCTATATATACATGTTTCAAAAAAAATTTGAGTTTCAATTCTTTTTTCGGATTCATTACGTCGGTTCCATTACTGACTAAAAATCAGAAACACAGAAAAATGCTGCTTAATAAGCTTGTTAAATTAGAGGAGGAATAGGCCACTTGAAAAGTCTTCAATCGATGGAAAAGATGGAAGTATATGTAATTTATAGTAACGGAGCTAAAGCAAGCCCTCATAGCTGGCAATGGACTTCCGATTTGTTGAAATATTTAGCTCTTTCCGTTCTGAATCCTTTATTCCTTGCCATTAATCGATCTCTCATTTGCAGTCTTTGTAATGGAACCATTATCTGCCAGAAACAGCTAAAGTGGCGATAGCCATTATAATTTTAAGAGTCTAAAATTTAAGAGCTCCAAGCTCTTGTTAACAGGAAATTGAAACTGCCTCGGCAGTACGATTTCAGTAAGGGCTACAAGAATAAGTAGGGACTCTACGAATATTTTAAGACTTGTTTAGAAAATTTTTGAAACTTCAACAAAACCCCAAGACAAATTAAAAGGCTCATGCAACATTCCAAAATTTTCTGAGTGGTAAATGACAACCTAAGAAATCTATAACTCGAAGAGACGAAGTGGTCTTTGGCTCTCTTCACGGTAGAATCCATAAAAAAAATTTTCAGTTTCTCTAATCACAGAAAAGGACTGCGCGTAATACTTGAATCACCGAGTGCAATAAATAACGTGCTTGCTTGAATAAGAAAATTTTTATATCAGTAAAACTTCATTCCAGCTATAAAAATTTTATGCAAACTGAGAAATTTCTTGTTTGCCTGACCAATACACCTTTTTAACAAATCTTGTTATTCATTTATTTTTAACTTCTTGCTTAGTATTGTTCTAAAAAGTGAAACTTTCTCTGTCAAAAAAGAAAAATATCCTTTTCAAATCCCATACATTTTCATAAACTTTTGTTTTTTTAAGTTAAATAACAAAAAACAAAAAGTAACTCGAAATAACTCTACAATTTCAGCTATTATCGAAGGTAACTGATACCGAGTATATAAGTGCAATGTCCCATGTCACAAACTATCACAGCGGCACATATTTGGATCTATTAACCACTAAACATTATGAAATGAGATAAAAAAAATGAAAACTTTAGTTTAGTTATATCCAACATTGACAATATTAATAGCATATCTGAAAACAAAACTTTCACAACAATCTAAAAATTAATCTAGGATAGCTCATCCCGATTGCTCACCCACTGATGCTACTGTTAAGAATTCAATACCGATTAGTCAATTATTGATTAAATAAGTAACTTCCTCTGTTTCATTCAACAGAAGCTTTAATTTCAAGTTTTTTCTCATCTCGGTAACGTTAACTGCAATACTGAAATTATTTCAACTTATACGTAAAACAGGTGGTGTCAATCTTGGATAAAATATACACATTGAAGATAGTCCCCCGAAAGTTCAAATTTTTCTTGACAACTTTTAATTAATTTTGTACCGAACCTAATCAGCATATTTTTTAAATGTACCATTCACTGGTAAAAACGAAGACTATCACAATCATCATTCACTTAATCATCATCTCGAATTGTGATCTTCTATCACAATTGGTCAAATACTAGTTTCATGATACTGAGTCATCAAAGCTTACTGAAAAAATTGCTATAAAGCACAACATTAAAAAGCACTAAACCAGTACAGGTGCAAGGGAACAAACTATAATATAAAATAAATGAAGTGTTTGAGGATTGTCTTCACTGACTTCACCGAAAGTCCATTTCCATCACAAGGATTCACTATTTTTATAGAAACTCATAGTAATTCTGTAACTAATTCTGAGATATAAGACTATCTCAAATAATTGAAGTTTGGTATTTAAAAGGAAATATGGCGATTCAAAAGTGATAATATGTCAAAAAAGAAAAAAAAACGACGTTATGTAAACAAAACACGCAAGCTATCACTCTCAAATCTTCAAAATATGTACAGCAATTAACAAAACAACAATTGCTGAGATTACTGAATTTAAATGAATTTCTATAATGCAAGGAGCCAGATTTCTGGACATTCCTCCATAACTTAATTTCGAAACGACTTAATCCAAAAAGTCATAACGAAAGAATTAAAGAATAAGTGCTAACACAAATAGAACTTTCTATGACTATATTTTACTTCTTGCATATTCTACAAATTCATCAATCAAAACAGGCCATGCTCCTTCTGCATCGTAATTGTTGAAATCCGGTGCAATCGTCAAAGAAAAATCCAATAATAAGTTCCACGTATCACGTGGTATGCTTTTCACTTCCTGTATAGAAAAGTATATGTAGTGATTCGCATATTTCATCATTCGAAGAATAAAAGACAAACTATCTCCCAAAGAAAATACACAAAGAGAAACTCATTTCGTCAGAGCTTCAACAGTCAGAGCTTTAGCCGATGACGGCATCAGTTTCTCTTTAGCAATTCATTTAATGATCTATTATCAGATATGCCAAAATAATTTTTGCTAGTTCTTGCATAAAAATTTCAAACTAGTGCCAGATTGAGAAACAAACCTTTTCCCGAAGGAAGCTAGTCCATAAAGGAAGGTAACTAAAATTGCCGTCGAACACAATTTCCCAGTAAGCAATGGCTGTCTCCACTTCTAGAATAAGAAGAAATGGTTTATAAAAATTTTTAACCTCAGGCTAAAGAATAACAAGACAGATCTCCCACAGCATCATTTCTGTCTTGTCATTAACAATGTCGAAATAAATCAATCGATAACTATTTGGCTTTGATTTAAAATTAAATGTAATACATAGCCTTACGTAATGTGTATCGCTAATAAAACGAAGTTACTGAAATATTAATAAGAGTAATCCATTAACATTTGATAAAGCTTACCCAATGTCCTCTGCGGGGATGCACGGGCATAATTGAAAGTGAACTGATAAAAATCTCGAAAATTGATTGGATTCCTGAGTTCCTCGCTCAGCGTTGGTATTTTCGTTCTCAATTTTTCCAAAGAATCTACTCTGAAAGACATAGTATAAAAAAGTAAACATAGAAATAAATGAAACAGATTTTCAAAATTACTTAACCGGCAGAAAAGCTTTTTCCAAGAAAATTCTAATTTTATAGATATAATTTAGCTTCAATTCAACATTTCTGGCTTAAATAGAACTCACATCAACTGATGGTAATTCATTCTTTGTAACTTCTGCAAACAGCAAAGTCATCTTCATATAAACCCATCACAAAATCGTTATAAGTGAATAAAAAAGATGAGCCTTTGTCATGTTATACAAGCTTCAGCATAGCTGAGAAATTAAGATCGAATCCTAATGCTTTCTATCCCAAACAAACTGATATCAAAAGTAAATAACGACAAATTGAATCCATAACGCTAAAGAACTGATAGAAAAATTTTGCGATCAATATAAATACTTCATTTCGTTCAAACCGGTACTGAATTCCTCCCAAGTAAATTCGCACTGCGTCTTTGCTTTGAGTTTCCAGGCTAATATCAGTACATTTCGATCAGCTGGATTTAAACCAAGATCTGTCAGAAAGCGTAACATTCCATGAGGCCCGATACATGATGGATCATTGTCTTGTCTATCTGCAAATTGACCAATACATTTAATAAATAAGAATAAACAAGTTTTCGAATGACTTCCGTTAAGCGGTCTCAATCTCAAACGCTGTTAAAATTAAACTAAATGCTCATACAACGCATAATTTTAAAGCTCTCAAATTTACGAGGAATTTCAAAGAATAAATGTATCCGAAACTCCACAATTCCGATAAGCACAAATGAATCGAACAAACTGTACTATTTGCATATTTGAGGAAAAAAGCATGAAGACTTCTTTGGTCAACCACATCTGCCATGCACATATACAATTGTGGATTCTGGTAATAAGCATCGCAGGCCAACTCCAGATTCCAGTTCTGACTACTTAGACAATGAATTGCTGTTTTTTCATTGCTTTGTGTCCATTGCATAAAATTTCGTACCTGAAACATGAAAATTTTGCGCTTTCATTATTATTATATGACCCATTTTTGTAGATATTAATGCTAATGATCCTCAAAACAAAATTGAGAAGCAATTCCTCTAACCAATTTTCTGAGCCAAAGCTGAGAAACAGTTCTTCCACAAGTATTAACTGAATTACAGTTATGGTTCAAAACCAAATGCATCAAATGCGAGTCTTACAAACAAACTCGATTTTGTTCTATTCTATTCTTAGGAAATTGATGAACATGCTACTGAACTCCTAATTACCTCCCAAACCAAATAAATCAACGCTTTGTACAAAACAGTTGTTTTCGTACAGATTTCCAGCAGGCGAAACTGATCACTCAATATAATACACCACTAGGAGTGATGCTAATGTATGCTAGGCAAGGCTGTACATTGACCTCTGAAATGTCTTGCCTTAACTAGCCAAAAGTAAGCGACACTGTCTTCTCCGCTTGTTTGGAACTTATCCAGCCGTTGTCCATTCTTACAATGTCCAGTGGGAATGCACAATCAATCACTTTATCTTAAAAATACGTTTAGAACTTTCAGCCGACAATTACTGCCGTCTTATATTTATAATAAATAGATACTATCATCTCTGACACTCCGATGCTTGAATTAATACCATTATCCATGACTGGTTGTTCAAATTTATTACTGATAAATCTTGAGCATCTTGAGACGTTTTCGATTATAAGGATACGAAATTTATATTGGTTACGAGAATTAATATCATTAAAAAAAATTCCTTTTAGTAAATTTCGTGTAAACAGATGTAAACACAATCTGAAAATTCTTCTACCAAATTCCTCAAATTCATGACCAATGATGTAAATGGGTAAAGTTAATGAGACAAAATTCACTTATCTTGTTTTTTCAAATAACCAACCTTGTCTCGTTGGGCAGTTTTCAGTTTGTTCATGGCAGAATGACTGAGTTTGGCACGCTTCACTGACTGAGCCACAGTGAAGAATTTTTAGGAGCAATCCAAAACCAATGAGAAATTCTGAAATTAATCAAATGAGCCCTATGTTGGCACAAAAATACATGGAAGCATTCCTATCATTACATCTCATCAGTGGCTTTATAGAATATGATCAAAACAACCTCTAAAAATTAAAATTGACATAGATCTTGGGGGAGATTGAGAGCTTCCAACATGCATTTTTCACATGCATTTCATTCATCCAACATTATTCGATGTAACTTAGTCGTTTATATGATCGAATTACTTATTTATTTAAAATAATTTCAAACTTAAAAAAATTATCTAACGTTCACTTAAATGTCCGCGGAGTTCATAAAACCCGATGCTTACAAGAGAAGAGAATAAAAACTTCCAAAATCTTCCATAACGAAATAAAAACACTTGATATTTGCTTGTGATAGTACCTATCAGTGATCAACCAGACCCAATTTGACCTTTGACCCCACTCTCTCTTCTCCCTCCCCAGCGACCCGTTGTATTGTCTTCCCACTTGCCGTACACGCTTTTAATACGGCCTTTCAAATAGACCAGACTCATTAAAATGATGGAAATGTTGGGGGAGTGGTTGGATGGAAGGGATCTGTTTGAGGTGTTGTGAAAAGGGTTGATGGTTGATCTGTTGAAGGAAAAGATGGATTGTAAAGCAGCTCTGGCGGAGATGGGACGATGGCGAGAAAGCTTGAATGAGTTGTTGACGATGGTAGAGTCAATCAAGCGGAATACTGAAAACAGTGATTGGGATGAACGGATGCGTAGCTTGTTAGATTATATTGAGCATTTGGATCGAGAAGCAACTATCGAGACCGAAGTGTTAAAGGAGATACAAAGTCAGGGAAGCGATGTGGACGTGGATATATCGCGAGATCGCTTCAGGAAACGGTATTTCTCGAATTTCTTACAAATCTATCAAAGATATGCAAAAAATCCTTCCCTATTACGTCTTGAAATCTCTTGAAAGAAATTTAAAAGAGTCAAGTTTAAAAACTTCACTCATCCATTTGTTAAGAGTTGAAGAAATTGGCTGGGAGCAGCGGAATATAGAAGGCGAAGCAGCGGATAAGATAGAGGCGTTGCGAATGATTGAAAGAGCGAACACGAGTGGCACAGTCCAGGTAGAGAGAATTTACTACTCGAAAAAAGATCCCTACACTAAGAAGGACATCAAAGATCCAGTGCAGAATAAAGTATGTTCATTAATTCATATAATATTGTAACTATTATCATTCCCGTCGCATTCTCGCCAATCAATGCTATTACGGTTTATCTGTGCAACTAGCTTCAGAATTTCAAAATTCTTTGCTGGCAGCATATTTTACAGTACTAATCTCAGCTCTTCAATTTGTTTCAGGTTTGTAAGCATGTTTATGATCGAGAATCAGTGCTAGCTAATATTCATGAATGTAAGAAACGACGTCTGATATGTCGGTGTCCCGTTTCGGGATGTCCGAATAAAAAGCCCCTAATAATGCGTGATATGGTGACATTCTCGAAGTTTTACGATTGTCTTAAAGATTAGCATATCTAATCATGTTACTTCGCTTCGTTTAGACGCGAAAATCTAATTAGATATTTTATATAACATTTACATTGTTTCTTGATGACAAATTATCACCTGGTTATCTCTTATCTTAACCCAACATTTTGATTTCGTAAAATAAGTTTGTTTCAACATACATACTATATGGTATCTCAAGTTTCTAACTATCATGAAAAATGCTATTCCGATTTTCATACTTGTTTGATACTTATATGTAACTGTTTAGAATATCAATATAAATCTCTTCTTCTTTCAAGATTTTTGAAACAGGAAAGGGACGCTTTTTTTATGTAGATCTCAATCTTCGGATGGTATTTAAATTTTGTTCACAAAATCTTGCTTGCACAATTCTCCATTAATGAGGCAATAATATTAAATATAAATGTTCCATTACCACTTGGATTTTTTGGTTGGCACGGATACCAGTCTTATGACGATACCAGCCCTCGAAATTTGAACTGAACCAACAAAGCCTCTTTTTTCATAATAACATACTGTAATATATAACGGAAGATGAAATTTAGAATCATTGAATAAATTCACTATGTGGTTGCATGATTTGAAAGTGTAATGAGAATAGAATTAGGCAAGTTAACACCACTTTTAGCTGCAAAATCAGACGTATAGCGGTATATTTCCAGCGTTTTGCACCACTATACACCTAGAACTCGCGATGACATCATTGTTTGTTCACGAAAACTCCTGAAATTTTCAGTTTTTACTTCGCAATTTCTCCATAATGATTCATCCGTAAGCCTGAGCTTCTTTTCTATGAGAAATAAAACATTCGTGGAACCGGGGGAGGGCGGGGGAAGGAGGATGCTCACTGTTCTTTTGCAAACCAATCCTAAGCACAATGCTATTCATCGCAGGCATTTTTAGCTATTTGAGTGCCGCATGGTTTGGTATATTTGTTTGTAAATGAAGAACAGTGAAAGTATTTTGTCCTCTCTTAAATAAATGACGATTTCTAATATGTAGTATTCTGTCAACGTGCTATAATTCAATAAAGAATGAAAGCGGAAATGTCACTACATTGAACGACAATTGAACCATTTAATATTCAAGACTTATTTTATCCACAAAAATACGAACAAATTATTCTTTTTCAAAAATCAATTGAAAAATATTAAGTGATAGGTTCACGAAATGGAAATCATTTGAAATAAAACGTCTAAAAAATTTCTTTAATTGCTTATAGCTAATCAATCAATTTCTTCTTATCGCAATAGGAACATTTGAGAGAAAAAAAACGAACAAACAAAAAATTCGAACTTTATTTCGTTAAATTCTTTATACAATATTCCAATAAATAATTTCCAATGGCAGTAGGACTCGATGGAGAGCAATTATGCTATGATATTGCATGAAAAATGGAGCGGAAATAACGTATAACACGATAACAAAAGTTGATTATTGAGAGAGTGTTGTAGGGATAGGTGATAATGCATGAGATAATTAACTGCTTCGAGAACGAATTAACTACCAGATCAAAAAGAACAAGAAAATGAATAGGATCGTCCGGTTCAAGGACATTATCGAAATACGGCAACACCTCATGAATAAACAACAGATGAGTTGGAATCCTGATGACCGGTCTAACATGCAGGTCATCACAAACATGCGTTTAACCGTGAAACACCACCCGGACAGTCTCTCTGTGCGGGTATTAATAGGTCAGGGGTAAGTTACTTTCTGGAATACTCGGTGCATTTTATTTCAGATTAATGTTAGTTAGACATCTCCTTCTCATCATTCCGATCAGAGATTAATTCTATTTTACAAGCCAGATGGATGCACTCACAGGTCAACTTCAATTAGCAGCACTACTGACCCGGTGTAAATAAATTTTGTAATTAATTGACATAATTTTAATTCTCTTTGCACAACATAGCATTCTCAAATTTACGGTATTTTGAAATTTATTCAGTTGCATTATTTTTTACATTTTTATTTGTCTGTTTCGACTCAATCATAGATATCTTTCAAGCTTATGAGGTTGAACCATTCATAATTATTGTGCTGTGGCTTTAAAAGTATTGTAGTGGCAATAGTAAGTCTTTACTATTAACTGTTTTCCCGAATATTTCTATTGTTCTGTTTCCATTTAAGATTGTTATTCTCTCAATTCAATCATCCTAATTGATGTTCTTATATTTGAGATCGATTCGTAGATTCAGATATTCATATTTTTTTCATCAAATACACTCAGGGAAACGGTAACCAAGATTTGTTTCTATCGCATCGTTCATCGTTAGAGAAATACGATCACAAGGGAATAGGATCAGCTATGGAAAGGAAAGCCGTTGATCCAACGGAAGGACATGGATGCTACTTACGTGGGCATGACGGAAATCATTTAACTCGTTGACATGTAACCACCTCCTTTATTCACTTTCTCTTTTACATGTATTTTCATTTCTGAAATCACGAAGTTGACAGTATTAGTTGTTGTTCGCAAAATTCAGAAACTTTCATCTTTTAAATAGTGAACAGTAAGTACGAATTATCGGAATGAATCTGTGCAAAAAGCTGGGAGTTTGTGAAAAAATCACGTCTTTGCTTCTTTCCAATCGAATCATCTGAATCTTGGCTGATAATTAATTATTTAGATTCTGCAGTGTTATCGTTGACTGAATATATTTATAACTGCATATTCCGTGTATTCTAAGATAGTATATGCGTTTTTTTTTTCATGTTTATTATAAGATTTTTTCGACGCCACAAATTAGCAAGGAATTTATTCATTGGAAATTAAGAAGAACTAAATATATTTGTATCTATTTCTAAAATATTGTTTGCTTCATTTGTGTATTATGCTTATTACGTCAGGCAACATCCGACGATAGTAACTGAGGAGTTGGAAAGTTTTTTTCCAATGCAATGCAAAAAGAAAATTACCGAAATTTTATTGCTGGATGGGGCGCAGGCTTTGTTGAAACTTTGTTGTTATATCCTCAAAATAAAATGATATTTCGTCAACAGCTGCAAGGTATTACTACAAAGGAAGTTTTTGAACAGGTTAGTTCAGTTTGTGAGAGTTGTTTTTGAATGATATTATTATTTACTTCAAACAATTGAGTATACCAAAAATAAGCATGATTATATTCTTAATGTATTATTGATTAACGGTGAATGAATTGGAAGCACAAAAATTTACTCTCGTCATGTTAGCTTATGAATTATTATTTTTTTAAGTGCTTTAAGTATTAAGACAACTCTTCATTGGAGTAGTTTAGAATCAAATCAGCACAAGCTAAAACCGTTAAAATTATTTGTTATACGTGAATTGTGAAATTAAGTTAAAGCACAGCTCATTTTCAGTTAAAAAAAGAAGGTTATTGGATGCTATACAGAGGAATACTTCCACCTCTTATACAACGAACAACAACACGATCAGTGATGTTCGGGATGTTTGATAAATTTCATCGTTATTTTGGTTGCTCAGAATGTAAGACAGCATCGACTCGTATTTCATGTTTTGCATCTGCTGCATTTATGGGTTAGTCATTAGTAAGCTTCATGATCTTGTATTACTTGCTCTTATACTGTAGAGATGATTTTATATTATTTGACTTGATTTGGTATTTTTTGGGACATTTTTTTGTTGGTGTCAAGGAATAAGTTAGCATTCATCACTACTTAACTGCATAATGATAATGTTTTCTACCACAGTGCAAATTTTAGCAGGTGCAGTTGAGGCTATTTCATGTCCTTTGGAGAGGACGCAAGTTCTTTTGCAGTCACCGAAGTATAATCAGCATTATAAAAATACAGTTCATGCTTTCAATGAACTTTCTAAGGTAATTTTATATATCTGCCGTTTTAAATGAAATTCACAATTTAAAGAAGTGCATTTATTGTTCCAATTTTTCAGTATGCTCCATGCAGTCAGCATATTAATACTTTTTTTTCATTAAAGCCATTAGCAGACATTATTAACTGTTTGTTTCATCACAAAAAATATAAAAATTCTCATATAGTAGAATTTTTTTTAATCTTTATATTTAAAACAATGGAAATTTATAAGATGAATAGTAAATTTGGTCTTGGTACGTATCAATTATGATTACATTTTAGATTGGAGCAAAGGAATTGTACCGTGGATTTACAGTTGTATTGTTGAGAAATGGATCAAGTAACGTTCTTTTTTTCACACTTAGGAAACCATTTCGTGATTTTGTTATTAATTGTGATCAGCAATACGCACCTCGCTATATTAGCGATAGGTAAGTTTGTTTAAATAACTGAAATTATTTAATCTCATTATAGAGGAGCTAGTGGTAAAATAGTGATTCTCTTTTAGGACACCGGAGCAGTTGGTGACATTTATTGGAGATTTTATATCAGGTGCTGTACTTGGTGCTTCTATATCATCACTCTTTTTCCCATTAAATGTAGTTAAGCAGCGAATGCAAAGCACTGTAAATAGTCCATTTTTATCAGCTTGGAAAACTTTTGAAGTTATTTGGATCGAGCGGAATGGTTCGTTTAGGGAATTGTTTCGTGGAATTACTCTCAACTACACGAGGTATTT